CCAGGAGAGCCCCCAAGCCCTCCCGCTGCATCTGGACAAGCCCTGGAGAAGCCAAGCGCCCATTGCTGAGCCCCTGGCACAGCCCACCCCAGGGCAGCACCAAACGGTGGGCTGGGGCAAGCCCAGCTCCCCGGCTGGAGGACATCTCTGCGGCGGCGGGGCTCTGCTTACCGATGAAGTTCCCAAGGTAGAGGCCAGGGAGGATCTGTGGGACACAAGAAGTGGCAGCGTGAGCAGTGACCTCGTGCCATGGTACCCGCTGCGCCGGGACGCCCCACGGGAAGCAGCGACCTCGGTCAGAAAGGCAAAAGCTCTGCCGTTAATGTGGCCGTCACCAGCCCCGGGGCAGGAGCAGTGCCGGTGCAGCTGCCCCAGCACCCAGCACACGGGGCTGGATGCAACCCTGGCACCCCAACCCATGCACCCGCCCGGCGCTGCACCCTCACGGGAGCTGGAGGCCAGCCACAGCTCTTTTATTGCTTCTCTCGCTTATTGTCAATAAAATCTTTGTCGGGGCTTTTTACCTGAGCTCAGCGAGCTGCGTGTGCAGCCTTGGACTCTACCCCATGCCTGCGGCAGCCCTGCTGCCCGAGGGACGGGGAAGCGCCAGGCACGGAGAAGCCTGGGGGGATGCGGTGGGGTGTGCGTCCCCCCCAACCCCAAGCCCTGCTCCCCTCACTCTGCGCTGCAGGGAGCCCGTTTCTAACAGCCCAGGAACAGATTGCTCTGGACACTGTGTCTCCATCTTATTTTCCTTGTGAAATTCCACTTTTCAAGGTAATTACTTGACGATGCCTCTATTAATTGCACTGCGGATGCAGAAGTGGGGTACCTTGCATCCCTTCGTACCCGGACCTATTTTATATTTTCCCTTTCTGCAGGCAGCAAGGCTCCCCAGGCTGCTCAGCCCCGTGTCCCCTCCAGCTTCCCCCTGCTGCGATGTCTGGCACCCAGGACCTGGGCAAGCAGAGGTGATTTCCACCAGCACAGCTGGGCTCACACTTATCTCACTGCCCGCATTTGAAACGTTTCTCTTGGTCAAACAGCCTAAAGAGGGTTTGGGTTTTTTTATGATTCCTAAGATTTTAGATCAATTTTCTACCACCAGGGCGCCTTTAACTTGCAGCTGCGGCACTGAAATGAGCTGGTAGGAGAGCGTCAGCTAGCAAGGGCAGCTCCCAAGGGCAGGACGCCGAGCCACGAAAAACGGCACGAATAACGGCACGTTCCCGTCCCCAGCACCCTTCTGACCCACTCCTCGCTGGAGGAAATGGGGCAGCACAGCCCCGTCCGCAGCACTGGGCACTTCCCCAGATACGGGCGGTTATGGGGCTGGAGAGGGGTGTTTAAAGCTTGGGAGCTGGGGGTTCCTGCAGGAAGGAGGTGTCTCTGCTCACCTGTGACGGGGAAGCTCAAACCACCATAAAAAGGCGCCCGTCCCCTCCGCTCAGCAATGCCGAGCCCCACGCACAGCCCAGCCCCGCCGGGCAGGGGGTGCGGGACCACTGGGCTCGGGGTGGCACAGGGCTCCCGGTGTGTGCTCGGGAGCTGGTGCCTTGGTTTTGAAGGCGCTGGGAAAGGTTCCCCCCTCCCTCGGAGGGGCTCGCTCTCCCCCCTGCCCTCCGCACGCCCCGGGCGGCCGCTGGGACGAGCCCCGGCTGCGGGCTGGCGCAGCGTCCCTGCCTGCTTCTCCTCCCATCT